CACCCAGGCGCCCCCTTATTGTCATTATTGATGTCCCCTCCCGTGACCTGTGAGGCAGACATGTGCCCAGGACACTACAGTGAGGGGAAAGGAGGTCCGCTAGAGCCTGGGTCTGGAAACCCTTCAGAATGAAAACCCTGGGAAGGCAAAGATGGATATAGTTTGTTCTGCCGTTTCCTGCTTGCCCTGCACCCTGGGACCAGCCTGGCACACAGTAGGTGCTAAATAAATACTTGAATGAATGTCTCTTCTCCCCTCATCCGTTATCCTTACAGAACTGCTTCCATACCACTTTCTACTTCCCCAGGCCCACCCGCCCATCTGTCTGCCCCATCATCGGGCTCTGCTTACTTTTTGGGGCCCCCTCCCGTGGTTCCTAGTGCTCGGCTGGCACTCGGTGCTTGTTGAAGGGGAGTCCCCCAGACGGTCAGTGCCCGGGAGGCCCAGAGCCACACTGGTTCAGCAAGCTCGGTATGTCTGGTCTCGTGCTAAGCAAGAGAGTACCGATTCTGGCTGAGGGAGTCACAAAGGACCAAACACTGGGAAACCCCCCAAACTGGTGGGGGTGACTCCCAAGCCCATGGTGAGGATGTTGAGGCTGCATGCATCACCAGGGATGAGACCCAGCCTGGAACAGGGCACAGGGAGCCTGGCCACGTGGCCAGGGTGCTGTGAGGAGGTGGGGCAGGGAACAGTGCCTCCAGCTCCTACAAAAGAGGCGAGTTCTGCTTCTCACAAGACTCAGAAACAAACTCCCAATGTGAATTCTGACGCCGAAGGAGCCAAAGAGAATAACCCACGTCCACTACGGAGGCTGAGCTGTGGTCTTCCTACTACACCACACTGTCTCCTAAACGACAGCACCCCATCCTCTCTCCAGCCCAGACCCTCAGGGCACAAGCAACCCTCAGGGAGTCTCAGTAGGTAGAGCATCTGACTCGATCACAAGGTCATGAGTTCGAGCCCCATGCTGGGTCTAGAGATTACTTAAAAAAAAAAAAAAAGATACAAGCAAGCCTCAAAAGGAAAAGAATAAACCAGAAAAAAAATCTGTCAACATATGACAGAAGGCAAATTTTCTTAATATGCAAAGAGCTGCTACAATTCAAGAAAATGACAGACATCACAATAGAAAAATGGACAAAGGATGTGACAAACCACAAAAAAAGACAATTTGCCAGCAAATATGAGAAGAGAGGCTCAGCTTCACAAACAAAAAATACAAGTTAAAACAGCAGCATTCCAGAGGCGCTGGGCGGCTCAGTCAGCTAAGCGTCTGCCTTCAGCTCAGGTCGTGATCTCAGGACCCCTGGATGGAGCCCCGCGTCAGGCTCCCTGCTCGGTGGTGGGTCTGCTTCTCCCTCTGCTTCTGCTCCCCCCACCCCACCCACCCCACTGCCCATGTCCTCTCTCTCAAATAAAATAAAAATCTTAAAAACGAGAACAGCGGCATTCCAGTGTTCCCCCTGTTGAAACCAAATGTCACCCATCCCTTCACGGGGTCCCTGTAGACATGGGAGAGAAGTGAGGGAGACCTGGGTGGGCAGGCACAATACAGTACAACACACAGTGGGATTCCGTGTGCTTCTGATTGATTATTTAGGTCATCTCCACCCCCCACGTGGGGCTTGAACCCACGACCCCGATATCAAGAGTCACATACTCTTCTGACTGAACCATCCAAGTACCCCCCATTTTTCATAAAAACAAAAGCCCCCCCCCAACAAAACAAAACCAAAAACTAAAGGCCCAGATGTTTTGTTTCTTCCTTAAAGATCTGTTTACTCATTTTAGAAAGAGAGCAAGAGCACAAGCGGGAGGGGCAGGAGAGGGAGAGAATCCCAAGCCTGATGCAGGGCTCGGTCTCACGACCCCGAGATCACGACCTGAGCCAAAATGAGTCATTAGCAGCCCCGCCCAGGGGCCCCAAGGCCCAGGTGTTTCTACAACAACGTAACTTTACATAAACCACTGTGGGCAGAGGCACAAGTCATTCTAAGGGCTTGGAGGGCGGAGGTAGAAAAGGGACACTTTTTATGCTTTCCTCTCTTCTGCACTTTTTTTTTTAACAAAGAGCATACTTTTCTTCTGTAACTTAAAAAAAGAAACAATAAATAAATAAGTGAACACCCAGAAACCATAAGAGAAAACCTGATGGGTACAACTACCTACAAATGAAAAACCGAACACGTGAGACGTGAGAAAAGAAGTAAAGAGCCCCCAGCCCTCTGCAGGCTCCCGCACCCTCTTCTACTCTCTGGCTCAAACGGAGTTGAGTCAAGTGGGAAAAAGGCTAAGTAATCAAAAACAACTGAAGTTTTCCTCTAAATCACAAGTTTCAAGCAAGTGGAAATTAGTGTTAAAAACATTTTAATTCTTCCTTTTAAAGATATAATTGTAGATATTTTAACAAAGCAACTATAGGATATAGATTCAAAATGCAACTCATCCTGGAAGGTGGCACCCACTGTTTATCTTCTCTCCAGAGTGAAAAATACCGTACAGTAACTTCAAGGTAATGAAAAAAGGAGAAAGACAGCTTGGGAAGATTACAGAAAAACCCTCATGTCACATTAGAAAGAAGAAAAATTAACAATAAATTGAGAGAAAATATTTGCAACTCCTATCAGAGCAAGCGTGATCTGTAAACAGGCAGAGAGGTGAACGTGCCCTGTGGGCCACCTTGTGGGCGGCTCCAGCCGGCAAACCCCTGCTGGCTGCCATGGGCATTGCTAGCAACACCCCTGCACCCACTTTGGGAATCCGACACCAAAATGCACCTACCACCCACAGATGACCGTCCGGACCCCCACCCACTTCTCGGAGGGGCGATGGCCACGTAAGGAGCCCACGCCCACTGACGGGAGTTGCACCCAGGGGCAGAAAGGGTTAAAGGAAACAGTGCCCGTTGGTTTTCGAATTAACCACACACACAGGTGAAGGCCCACCACAGCTGGGTCCCCTGCTCAGGGGCATCTCAGGGGAGGCCTTGGTTGGTGGAATTCAGTTCCTCACCCAGAAAGGATGGAGGCCGTTTCCTCGTTGCTTTGTGGCTCCCCAGCGGCTGCTCCCTCAAGGCTGGCCCCGCCAGACACATGGTGGGGTCAGGAGCCCCCTCCCAGGCACAGTTCTGCCCACACTCAAGGGGAAATTCTCCAGGTAGCAGAATCCTGCTACCCCGGGGCCAGGTAATGGCCCGTGGACGAAGGACCCTCTCACCCTGGCGGTGGCGAGTGCTGCCTTGGAGCAGACACACAGACACAGAGGGTACAGTTCTCCAGCCCCCGTGCAGCACCTGCATTCCTACCAAGTGTGAGTTCACGCTCAGTCTGTCTCCCTAGTTACAAGGTCTTGGTCATGACCCAGGGCTCCACCAGGGAACCAGCATAATTTGGGGTTTGGACGCTGGTCAGCAGCACCTCGCAGGGAGACTTCCTCAGCCTCAGGACAGGCCGGGCTGGGGCTCGCTGCTTCCCTGACGGCACCACAGCTCGGACCAGCTGAGCTCCCCACCCACAATCATGCCCCGTACCAGACTCACCTAAGGGTCCCTGGGTCAGTCCCAGCCGAGAGCACTCTGGACTGTAGGGAGGTGTCATTCCTCACAGCCTGAGATCAGGGAGTCTAGGGTGGATCCAGCGGTTGGGCCCTGGCGCCTTCCAAAGCCCCCTTGAACCTCCTGTTGGCTCACGGGCCCCAGGTACACAGGATGAAGCTTACTTCCTGCCCGGCTTCACCAGATGGCACGTCTAGCTTACCAAACACCCATGGCACTGAGCTGAGGGAGGGAGCGGGACTCGGGGAAGCGGCCGAGTCAAGGTGACCCAACAGAGCTGCCGCCACCACTGGACAAGGTGAGAAGTGCTGACAGCCCAGCGGACAGGGTCCTACTGCCCGGGCCCCTCCCCAGGCCTTTCTCCAGCATACTCACCAGCAGGTGCCTGACCTGTTCCAGGCGCTTCTTGCATCTGGGAAGGCCCTTCACTCTGGTGGCACAACGCCAGAAGGGGGACAGGGCATGTGACTGGAAGTGAAGCAACGCCTAAGGGGACGTGAATGTTTCTTCCCCTCACCCCCAAGGCTAGAGCACAGGGGCCCCTGGCCTGCACTGACCTGGAGGCCTGGGCTCCCCAACCCGTGAAGACCACAGCCAGGGGTCTGGCACCAGGGAAGGGCCACCTGCCACTGGGCAGCTTGAGCCCAGCTCCTTACAGGTTTCTCAGCACAAACCAGAGGGAACCCTGGCCACCAGGCCATCCAGAGGCAGCCCGTCTCATTCCCTCTGCCCGGGATTGTGAGGGACGAAGCTAAGGTCCTAGTCCCTCCACAACTTCCAAATGCAGAAAAGGAGCATGGAAATCAGTACCTCGTAAGTAGCATTTCACATGTGAAAAAAAGCAAACAGCCTTCCAAATCATCTGTTTATAGACGAAAACCTACTAGGGATTTGGTTCCAAACAGGAACCGGTGCAGGACACCAGCGGCATAGCTGTTGGCATTCACGGTTAGTGAAGATCTACGCCAGCAGAGCTGGGACATCCACACCTTACAGCCCCCAAAACGGACCCACCTCAACCTCTCACTTGCAGAAACCACGCGGTGGTTTCAAAAGAACACGGGTGCCTGACTGCCACACGGGGTCCAGCCTCCAGCCTTCCTCTGGCATGGACACTCAGGCTGCCCTGGCTGTCTAGCTGCCACACAGGCACAGTAGCCTGAAAACGGGTTCTGGGCAGCCCAACCCCAGCCATCCACACCAGAGCCTGCATGCACAAGTGCAGACAAGCCCAGGAAGATCTGGCCCCAAACCCCGAATTGCTCAGGGAATTGCAAACTACTCTGGTCTAACAATTACTCTCTGCAACACCTCCACCAGAGAGGTACTCGAGTCGTGCAGTCAACAGTCCTAAATATACCGTCCCTCCGGCCAGGTCGCAGGCCCCCAAGTTCTCGCCCCCAACCCGAGAAGACCACGATCACACGGACACCACAGGCATCACTGAGTTGTTAACTGCACTTTATTTTTTCTTTTCAACGTCCTGTTCTGCAGCTTCCTTGGCCCTTTTAGCCCGGATGCCGAACAGCCGGGCATTGGCACGGGCCATGCGAAGACTGGCGAAGGCCTTGAAGCTCTTCTCCTCCTCTGTGAGGACTCTGGCTTTCTCCTTCTTGTAGACCTGAACCGGGGCACAGGGTGCGTCAAACCCTTGCCTAGGATCTAACGTCAGCAGAAACCTTGCAGGAGGAGGCAGCAGGCTAGGTCTGCCCACCCACTGCTGCAAGGCCACACTGAGGCCAGGAAGGAAAGGCTAGAACGACATGACCTGGAATGTCACCCCAAACACACAGGAGCAACCACCTCAGATGTGTGCAGTGCTGGGCCTACCTCTCCTGCCAGACGGCCCTCAAGGGCCCAGTCGTTTGTGCGACCACCACCGTGTCCAGGGAGTGACCTGGACTTTCCAAATAGTGGGAAGTGTCTGTGACAAGCGAGTCCCCAAAGATGAGGACAAGGCCCTCCCTCCTCAAGGGGCCCATCTGCTAAGAATGCAGGATAAGTTCCTCCCTGAGTCAAGAGCTCTTTTTTGCAAACCTATAAAACTTGAGAGAGACCTCACTGCCACCCTTCAACCCAAGCCCCACCCCAAAGCGTTCACGGGTTGGTCCTCCAGACACCCCCACTTACATTCCGGATGGGCATGACTGGCCCCGTCAGCTGGGTAGCCACCTTGAGTTCTTCCGCCTGTTTGAAGAAGGAAGTCACCTGGGCTCAGGTCGCACACCCAAGGGCTGCAAACTTACAGCCCCCCTTCTTGCCAGATGTCCCCGCCTACTGCTGCGCACAGGTGGCGGGCCTGGGTCCCTGTCCCATCGGCTGACCGCGGAAGCACAGGCCGGACCCACCACGTGTGAACCCCGATGCAGGCTGCGGCGTGTGAGGCCAGCAGCACGCCAACTCCTAGGAAGCCAGCGCGCGTCAGAAGACAGAAGGCTTTCGGCTTCAAACTCCAGAAACCTAGCTCGCAGCCGAGCAGCCTCCTCCCCCCCGCCCCGGGGGCCTCCTCGGCCTCCTCGGCCTCCTCGGCCTCCTCGGCCTCCTCCCCCTCCGCCCCCTCCCCCTCCCCGCGCGGCGGGGGCACTCACAGAGCTGTCGCCCTTCTTGGGCGCCGACGGCTTCCTGGGGAAGAGGATGAGCTTGGAGCGGTACTCCTTCAGCCGCTGCACGTTGGCCTGCAGGGACTCCGTGGACTTGTTCCGCCGTCTCGGGTCCACCGAGATCCCGATGGTCCGGGCCACCTTCTTGTGGATGCCGGCCACCTGCCCCGACACACACACGGATGCAGCCCCCGGGGCCCCCGCGGCGCCGCGCGGCCGCCGGGCGCTCAGCCGTCAGATGGAAAAGGGTTCGAGCGTACTTTCATCACGGAGTACAGCGATTCCGGAGACCGTCATCACGGACCGCGCGCCCCCCGAGCCCCCCGCGCGCCGGCGCCCCCACTCACCCGGAGCTCCTCCAGGCTGAAGCCCCTGCCGGCTCGCACTCTGGTGTGGTACCTCACCGTGGGGCAGCGCACGAGGGGCCGGACGGGCCCGGACGCGGGGCGCGGGGCGAGGCGGCGGGCCTTGGCCTGCCGGGCCTTGCGTCTGCGCACACAGGGCGGTCGGCTCGCTCACCCCCGCCCCGGACGCCCCCGCCCCGGACGCCCCGCGCCCCGCGGGCGCCCCCGCCCCGGACGCCCCGCGCCCCGCGGCTCACCTGCGGATCTTCCGCGCCGGCTGGTTGAACCACGTGGCCACGCGCCGCTGCCAGTCCTTGTGGAAGTGGGGCTTCAGGATCATGCCATTCCGGCTGGGCGCCATGGCTGCTGCCGACGGGCCTGCGGGCGCGGGGAGCGAGTCAGGGCCCGGGCCACGGCCCTCTCCCGTCTGCGGCGCGGTCCCGGAGCCCCTCTGCAGCCGCGCCCGGAGCAGCCCCACGCCGATGGCCGCGGATGGCCGCGGATGGCCGCGGATGCGGCCCGCCGCCGCCGCCAACGGCCCGCGGACGCGGCACACTCACCTCCTCCCGGGGAGCACGGCCAGCGGAAGAGGCCCGGCGCCGCCAGGCACCCTGGGATGCTGCTGGGCCCAGCTAATCAGAAGCGCCGACGCTCTCCGGCCAATCAGAGCCGGGAGCCGCGGAAGTGACGCGCGCGCGGCCCCCCCCCCCCCGGCCCTGGGCGAACATGGCGTCTCCCGCGCGCGGCGCTCCGGAAGCGGAGCCGTGCTGGGCCCGGGGCGGGCCGCCGAGGGGCTCCGCGGCTCTGCAAGAGGGGCGGCCAGGCCGGAGGAGAGAGCGGCGCTTTAAGTGCCATCTTCCCCGCGTCCGCGCGTCACGGGACTCGGTACGTGCCCCAGCCCTAGAACGTCGCGGCCCGTTCCGGTCTTTGTGCCTCCGTCTTTTTCGAACATTTGTACTTCTCTCTTTAAAAAAACCCAATTATTATTTGAAGAGCGCGCGCGGGGACGGGCGCGGGGAGAGGGAGAGGCCGACTCCCCGCTGGGCCGGGGCCGGGGCTCGATCCCAGGACCCTGACACGGGCCCGAGGCGAAGGCAGGCGCTCCACCGCCGGAGCCGCCGGGCGCCCCTTGGGCTGCTTTCCTGCTCCGAGCTGACCCTTGCTGAGCTGTTTCTGGGGGGCACACTTCTGTCGTACGTCCCTCCCGCGCGTCTTCACGCGGCGCGCCCGCCTCTCCTTGCAGGGCTCAGCTCCCTTCCCGGCGTCGGGCGGCCGCAGACGGCCGCCTGCGGGGACGAGCGTCAGAAGACGAGGCCGGGCGGCCGGGCGCACCCCGTGGCCTGTGCGCGCGCGTCTCCCCTTCCAGGGCGAGCTAGGACAGCGCCTGTACGTCCCGGGAACCTCCTTTCCCGCTCTCGCCCCAAGCAGCGGGCCTCTTTCTAGTAAGACAACGTTCCCAGAGCTTCCTGACGCCGAACGAGCCGCTGCAGACTTGTGTGCGTCCCCGAGTAAAGAGGCTGCTGGAGAGGACTTTTGCTGAGGCGCGCTTGGGTGCTGGAAAGACCGCGCTGGGATGCCCCGAGGGGCCGCAGGGTGTGGCCGGGGGCACGGGGCGCGTGTAAGCCAGGGGCCCGTGCAGTCTTCAGACGCACTGCGCCTACGTGCAGGGCTCCCACCCTGGCCCTGCCTTTTTTTTTTTTTTTTTAAGATTTATTTATTTATTTGAGAGAGAATGAGAGAGAGAGAGCACGAGAGGGAAGAGGGTCAGAGGGAGAAGCAGGCTCCCCGCTGAGCAGGGAGCCGATGCGGGGCTCGATCCCGGGACTCCAGGACCATGACCCGAGCCGAAGGCAGTCGCTTAACGACTGAGCCACCCCGGCGCGCCAGCAACAGTTGTTAGCAAATGCGACGCAGTGAGCGAAAGCGCCTCTCACAACCTTGGAAGCGGTATGTGTCCGTGAAGTGAAGGTGAGGTTTAAAGTCTCTTTGGTCGCTGCCACTTTCATGAGCGCAGATGGGCTAAACTGGAGGGTCAGTGACCAGTCACTAAGAAGGTGGCTGTGGAGTTGGCTTGGGTTCCACGTTTGTACTAGTTTCGAGGCGCTGGGCACGTTATTTAACTTTCCCTTCTGTGAAGCGGGACGACTGGCTGTGTTCAGGCCACAGAACAGAGCACGGCGCCCAGCACAAGATAACCACACACAGCTCTGCTTCCGTGTGACGTGCTAGGATCCGCTGTGGCAAAGGCGGTACAGGAGAGGAGCACGGAAGAGAGCGGGTGGTCCCTCATTCAGTCCTCACGGAAACCTTGAGAGGGACTCTCCCCCATCTGATTTCACTTTTTTCGAGTGGCACCGGAGCTTGACCCCACACTCTATTGTGGCAGCGCAACTGCAGCAGAGTGATGCTGGAGAAAACCCTTGTTGAATAAACACTTGCCTTGGCCCATGCCATATTCCTTTGAATACAGTCTATCAAATGGTAGCCTGCACCTCCCATTTCTTTCTCAGACCCCTTTCAGTGGATCATTGCTCTTACTAATCTCAAACACATTCCTATCCCTACCCCCAGTTTCTTTCTGGACAGACTCCCGGACTCATGCAGTTCCATCTGCCACCTGAGCTCCAGCCGCTCATAGTTAAGATGTGGCCATCGGTCACTGGTCGGGGGACAGAGGTCTGAAAATAGAAACACTGCTCAGAATCAAGTTAGCGGTAAGAAAGTGAAGTTGTAATTCAAAGATCTTGGTCTCCAGCACACACACCATGCCAGATGCAGATTTCAGCATCCCATGCTTGAATACTCCACACACCCACTTCCTTTGGAAAGTGCGCAGAATAGTGAGGTGAAACTGGTGCTGATGTGAAATCCTGCTGGGGACAGGCTCGGCTTTCTCGTTGGGAAAGAAGAGTGAACTTTATCAACCGTTAAGCAGGAGTCCTTCTGATACAAAGACTTGGCTGGCTCAAGCATTTTAGAAATCAGTAGCTATAGGGACAGGCCCCGTCCTAGGCACAGATTTCCACAGCCACGGCTCTGCTCCAGGCTTTTGTCCCCAACTTTGGCCTGCAAGGGCCACTGAAAGAGCTCGCTAATGCCCCTGGGAACTGCACTCAAGGTGGCCAGCGATTCCTGGGTGGACACCCCTGAAGGTGTGGGAGGAGCTCGGGACAGTTTCCCAGAATTGCCATGCAAGACTGAGCCCGTTCCTCACAGCGGAGCCTGCTCATTCAGTACCTGTACCTACCTGACTGGTGTCCTGCCGCTGGTGCTGCGGGTGTTGGCTTCAAAGAAATCCCACTTAAACAGTCAATAGTAGTGTGTGGAGCCCTCTCAGACATACACCTTGAGTTCTTAAATGAATATCATAGCAGCAAAGTGATGTTATCGTGTTTTGGGGGGCTAAAAGATATATCCCAAAACACCATGCAAAAGTTAGCATGCTGTGTCGTATAAATACGGCATATAAATACGTTGAGTTAGGAAAAGCCGTAGCCCGACAACAGCTAAAGGACAGGATGATGTTTGCTGCTTAATCACAGAACCCCTACGCCTCCAGCATCACAGCCGTCCGGAATCGTGGCCTACACAAAGATCAGCTGCAGGCTAACTCAGTCCCCTAACCTGCAGGAGCGCTCGAGGTCAGTGAAAGGCGACAGGGAGAACATTAGAATCATAATCATAAATGTTTTATTTAAAAGTTGCTTAGAGTACGATCTTAGAAGTTCTCACCGTAGAAAATACCTGCATGATGACCTATGTTAACTAGGCTCATTGTGATCATTCTGCAATACGCATGAACGTTGCATCGTTATATCGTGCACCTGAAACGAATGTGTGTATCATTTATACCAAAACAAAAAATAAGCTTTGAATGAGCATAACAAAACAATCATAAGCGTTTGTTGATGAGTATACATTACAGTGGAGGGCAGTTTATATAATTTAAGAACATATGTTAATTTCTCTTAGTACTTTCCTGTCTTCTGAGGATGACTGCATTAAATATACGTGTTTACTTAAAAAGCATTTGTCTTTCTCGGGGCGCCGGGCTGGCTCAGTCGGAAGAGCATGTGACTTTTGATCTCCAGGTCGTTTGTCTTTCTCGGGGTGCCTGGCTGGCTCAGTCAGAAGAGAATGTGACTTTTGATCTCCAGGTTGTGAGTTTGAGCCCCACGTTGGGGTATAGAGATTACTAACAAACAAACAAAAATGTGTCTTTCTCAGTGTGTTCCAGAAGCTACAGCCAGGCCGTGTTATACCAGCTGTGCTGGGGGGAGGGCAGAGGGTCAGGGCTGCAGCTCGAGCGTTGAGCACACAGGCTGCCCAGTGTGGTCTGGCTGCTCAGGGACCCACGTGCAGTTGGAGAAGGCTCCTTATGGGAGGTGAGAGGCAGGCTCAGTCCATGAGGATGTAGCGGGGGGAGTAGAACTTCTGGCACTCTTCTTGAGTACCAGATATCTGATGACCTGGAGGTGACATCACTTAGGACCAGTTGGAGGACCAAAGTTTGCAAACACCTGGCTTCTACCAGTCAGCACAGAGATTCCCTCCCGGCGTGGCTGTGAGCCTGCTCACACCTGTGAGTGCTAGGGAGACAGGCTGCACTGGTCTCCACTGGGGTGAGGGGGCCACTTTCCATGCCATTTACATTCAATTCGTAAGTATCTTCGGGCACACGGCAAAGGCCACTTTAATGGTCAAGTACAGGGGGGATGAGCTTGACCACATCCACCGTTAGGGTACCGAGGGTGCCGGCCTGGGCACAGAGACCAGAGCCCTCCTAAACACATCCCCATCTTTGGAAACAAATTTGGGGAACTAGGGTCAATGCACGAGTGCCCTGTCGGAGCTGCCCTCCCTCAGGTGTGACCTGTACCTGCCCACATGCTGCCATTGGCTGTGGGACGGGCAGCAGAACACCCCATTCTGTCAGGAAGTGCCACTGCAGGGAAGGCAGAAGCTATGAGAGCAGCAGGTGCAAGCACCTGAGTGCGTGCTGCACACCCCTGGGGACAAGGAGCCAAGTGCACCCCACTTGCTGTAGTGAGGGGGTGTCCTAGGGCCTCTACCCCAGATTCCTACAAAAGGGGCTCTTCAACCGGTTATCATGTGGCTGAAATCACAAACCGAAACACATGACCCTTTGTCGGGTTACAGCTGGTCGTGTGGTGCAAAGACGGACTTTCCACGCACATAATTTGACTAGAAAGTACCGCAGCAGGTCTCAGGATGTCTGTCCCCTCCCCACCAGCACGCGGAGGCCAGACCCGTGAAGAGAGGCTGTCATGCTCGCATCCATACAGCAGCAGGTGGCAGTGTTTTCCTGCTCTAGAGCCCAGTGCTGTCCCCGGCGCTGACCCCGTGGGTGCGTGAGCACAGGGACAGGGCCCAGCGAGGGAGGACGGCAGCAGGCAGCTCAGGGGGGCCTTTCGCCGCAGATGCCGTCAGCACTCCCACGAAGTCAGAGGAACTGAAGACACAGCCCCCGCACACGCCCCAGGCAGGACGGAACAAGCTCCTCGGGGCCCGCATGCTGCGCTGCCCCTGGATCTACCCAGCACCCACAAAACGACAGCGTCACCACCCTGAGAGCTTGAGATCCACACGCGCACCTGCACCCAG